AACGAGTTTCGGCAACACACCAGATTTCTGCCAGAAAGGTCGGTTCTGCCTGATTTAAGTTCCTGGTTTTATTTTTGAGCCTCAGTTTATTTGGTTGTTGGAAGTGCTTGTTTATTGGAGAGTTATTAAGCACTATGTCCACTACTTTGAAATATGAGGTTCCGCTCTTTGATGGAAAGAGTGATTTTACTATGCGGCAAAACACAATTCAAGACTATTTGGTGCAATAAGGTCTTGATGTTGCCTTGCAAGATGTAAAGTCAGAAGGTATAAAAGAAGGTGATTGGATTTTGATCCGGAAAAAGGCTGTTAGCACGATTCGATTGACACAAACCCTGCAGATAAAAGTTACCGTGTTGACGGAAACATCGCCGAAGAGGTTGTGGGATACTTTGGAGAGTAAATTTGCAACGAAGACGTTGACTAACCGTCTTATTATGAAGATAGATCTATACTCTTTGAAGATGAAGGAAGGAAATAATATAATTGGCCATACTAACAAGTTTAATGAGTTAGTGTATCGAATATTGAATGCAGGAGAATAAATTAAAGAGGAAGAGCAAGCGTTGCTCTTGTTAGCTTCATTGTCCAAATCCTATAAGCCGTTGGTGCAGTCAATGTTGGTTAGAAAAACTACATTGAAATTTAATGAGACGATAACATTTTTGAAGGAGAATGACAAGATAATGGGAAATGAAGACAATTTAAAGGAAAGTCAAATACTAGCTGTGGGGGGTTCTGAAAAAAGGAGGAAAATGAAGAGTGACCGTCGTGGAAGATCAAAATCTCAGCCAAGAGATTACAACTCTATTTAGTGTCATTATTGTGGAGAGCTTGGTCACATTCAAAATCATTGTCGACTTTTTAAAGAAAACTTGAGAAGTCTGAGAAATTTGAAGGGTAAGTCAAAAGTTGAGAACTCCGCGAACGTGGTCAGTTATGAAGGTGATTTACTTCTTTTAAATACAAATCTTATTAAGAATTCTAATTGGGTGATGGATTCTGTTGCCGATGTCCAAATATGTAAAGATCAAACTTTATTTGATACTTTGCATACAAAGGGAGATTTTGGCTATATCAATGTGGAGAATAAGATGAAGCAGCGAATTGAAGGCATCGGAAGAGTTCGTTTGAAGTTCCACAATGGTAATGTCAAAACAATTTTTAATGTGAAGTATGTGTCTACTTTTGGAGCTAATGTTATTTCATTGGGCAAGTTGGCTTCACATAGGCATAGATATATTGGCACTAAAATCTATGCAAAGTGTACAAGGGTGATAGCTTGATTATGCATGGGAGGAAGAAATAAAACAACATCTATTATCTAGATGGATGCGCCTTGTGAGCAAATGCGGAGAGTAGCAATAATATGAAGAATCAGAAAATCGAGAAGAAAGTTTGGTTTTTGACATTGTTGAAATATGTGAGACTATAAGAAGAGGAAGGATTGTTGTGGAACTTCCCATGTCCCACATATGAAGTGTGATAAAAAGGTGCGGGCATTGGCTCCTATAAATTGACCCATTTGGGTCCTATTTTAAGACATTACAACAAACTTTTTTCCTTTAGTAACTAGAGATAGTGAAATGGAGATTTGGTGAGTTGTTGTGAGGATGGTTTTCCAATTCTGTCCGTGCAAAAATTGTAATAAATATTTTAGTGGATTATCCCATTTTGGGATTGTGGATGTAGGTATGTTGTGAGACCAAACCACGTAAAATTCTCGTGTCTTGTTATTTGGCTCTATCTTTCTTCCCTTGTATGTTCCCAACACATATGACACCTAATGATGCTACACATATTTCTACTCATGTAACCGTAGAAATATTTACATAAGGTGGTTGTTGCTAAGGGAGAGGCTGATAATTATGTGCCATATGTTGTGATGCACTATATGTTTGAGTGGCGTTGGCGTCTATAAACAAAGGTAGGGATGTATGCTGCCATTTTTGCCCGTGATTTCTGAATCAGCCGAAGTAATCAGTCGATAATGATAAGATCCAACTCCGCCTTCAATTTGGGAGATCGGCAGGGGTGTGGCAATGCTTCCTATCCGTTAGACCGTGGCTAAAAACTATGGATCAATTGCTGGCACATTCCCTCGGATAATACAAACTTCTATGTGTGGCCAGGTTTGATGCCTTCTGACCACTGGGAGTTTCCGGTCTTTGTAGCCGTGTCGGAGTGACCCCTTATGAAATATATACCGTGGAGGCAGAAAACCAGAAGACGTAGTGTGGACGGCTTTGGTATCCTCTGTCGATGTTGATGTTTCGAATTGAGCCATCAGGGAACGTACAAGTCTCCCTGATCTTAACCTAATGAAGTTAGATTGCTTTTCCGTGAGGTGTGTCAAAATATTGTTGTGGGTTAAAATTTTCTAACCCGATGATAACCAAGGGCTTCTTTCTAGAAGATTTAGAGTGATTAAATCTTTAATTCGTGTCGAACGCAGTGCCCAAATATTTGATAGAAAAAAATTAAGGACAAAAAAGAAGAAGTGCAAAAAATTGAAAATAAGTTGCAGGAAATGAAAGAAAGAATAACGTTGATTAGATCTTGAATCTGATTTATGATGATTACATCAAGATCTATTTATAACATCTAAACAGTGTCTGTGAAGCTACACATTGTTTCTAATCTACAGAAAACTTGAGGGATGGAACCCTTTGCTGAGAATAATTTAAAATACTTAATTTAATTAATTATTCTGATAATATGTAATTTTATGAAAATTCCTAAATCTGAATAATTTTTTATTTTGTAACAAAATCATGATATTTTTGTTAACAAAATCCAAGATTTTTTAGTAATCAAGATCTTCGATTCGAATATAATTCTATACTTTATTCAACCGTTATCCGCTACTAGAATTCAAATATAATATTGCTCTAAAATTTTTATCTTGTCCATGTGTTAATGTCTGCATACATCCATCTACCTTGTCAAATTTTCAATACGGTTATCTTATACGATCCTATGACATCCTTTAATTTCGTTGGAAATCGGTAACATCGGAATAGTTATCAAAATTGATACCATCGGCGTGGTTTGTTAGAACCAATTGCGGTCGGACTCGCAACTCGGCATGGTTTTCGGAACCAAATCCGAAATGTTTGTCGGACCGATATCGAAATAATCGTCGGAACCAAAGTTAAAATATTTTTCTGGAACAAAAAGATTTGTTGGAACCAAGACTAAATATTTCTTTGGAATCAAAATATTTGTTGGAACCAAAGCCTAAATATATCTCTGGAACCAAGGCCAAAATATTTCCTTGGAACAAAAAATATTTGTTGTGACCAAGGCCTAAATATTTCTCTGAAATTAAAATATTTGTTTTGACCAAGACCTAAATATTTCTTTGAAACCAAAATATTTGTTGGAACTAAGGCGTAAATATTTCTCTTGAACCAAAATTTTTATTAGAACCAAGGGAAAAATATTTATTTGGAACCAAAATATTTATTGGAACCAATGCCTAAATATTTCTCTGGAACTAAAATATTTATTGAAACCAAGGCTTAAATATTTCCTTGTAACCAAGGCCAATATACTTTCTTGGAACCATAATATTCGTTGGAACTAGAGTATTTTGTTGGGACTCAAATTACAGTATTTTCTTGGAACTAACTCTTGCATTTTTCAGAATCAACTTTCAAACTGGCCTTAAGATAACCTCTTAGATTAAAATTTTTATCGAAACAGACCTTAAGAATCTTAATCGGTTTCTGAAACCAAAATATTATATGAATCCAATTAATATTTTTTCTATGTAACATAAGTCTCCCTTAAGCCTCATATTTATTTTATTCTAGAACTATTGTTTTTATAATACACGCACACTCGGATGACTTTTAGGGAGTTGGTCACCATTAGAATGCCTAAACACCTTAACTATTTGATACGTCCGGAGGATTAATTTTTGGTGGTAACAAACGGATAATCTGAAAATTTCAGATTTGCTCCTAGGCGAATCGACACTAGTGTCATGAGGAGGCGGATGCTTTGAAAGATTCCAAGCCACAAAGATGTTTCCATGATTTTGAAAGGAGAGTTTCATCCCATCTTATCTTAGTTGTTGAATTACATATATAGTAAATATTTAGATTTTAAAAATTGTTGTATGGTTTGATCGCAGCCCCCTTCCTGATTTTTCTCAAGAACAATGATGTGTGAAGAGGGAAGTTTTTTTGGAATCACCAAAAATCTCAAAAAAATTGGACTGAGGAGAGTTTTGCTTGTTTTTTGATAATATATTTAGCCGCTTCCTGGAATTAATTTTAGTCTATTAGCCTACCAACTATATAGTTTTGATTAGATATAGTCGCTGCTAAGATAGTTAGCTTAGTCGTCTAGTTCATCTCATAATCTCGTTGCAATTAGCTAGTTTAAATCCTGTTATATTGGTTAAGTTAGATTTGTTTAGTCCAACAACTTAGTTAACTAAATTCTGCCATTAATAAGATTGAACCAGCGTAGTTCCAGTTTTGTGGCAACTGTTTTCATGCTAAAACTCTGTTGGATTCAATTGTTGTCTATCACTAGTGACCATGGTTCGTCGTCGCGGATCGGCATCGCGGATCGGCCCTAACCGTTCCTGATATGTCGCGGCGTATAGGCAAATATCGGCCTATATGATTATTTTTTACAAAAATTTATATTTTTAACAAAAATAATAATAAGCAATTAAAATTTATCAAATCATAAACATAATCATTTTTTAAAATATATAACATTAAAGAACATAACCACGGTGGGTGCATGCCTCAAACGGTTAACCTCTCGAACTGATGATGAAATTTTGTTTGCAATTCCACCGTATACGACAAAATATTAGACAATACCACATGCACTCCATAAATCCTAGAATATGTCAAAAATATAACAATGCAAATATCTCCATCCCAACATAACAATGCATATATCTCCATCACAATGAATAACTATAACAAAGACTCTTTATAGATGGTCTGGAGTCCCACCCTGTGCATAAGTCTTTAAAGATGCACTGCATGAAAGACCAACAACATGAATGTTAAATGTCAGATTTTTAACAAAAAAAAATAGCAACTAACTTTCATCTAGATAAAGATTCCAAAGCCTAAGATTGTTACATTGAAACCCAACACCAAATTTCCACCATTCTGGCCATCTCCTAAAATTAAACAATCTTTATTAGTTAAATTAAATTCAAGCAACCTCAAGTTGTTACATATAAATAAAAATTAGAAATAAAATTTTATAAAATATTTAAATTATGTTTATGTTAAACATTTATACTTACCATTCAATACCTTGTGGAGTATCGTGGAGCTTCAAAACCATTTCCATCTTCTGATCGATCATAGTATGAATATCCTTCTCTAAATGAACCTCTTTGATATACCCAGTAATAAGGATGATGATATGCATTTGGTTGGTCCCACTCTTGTCTCCCCAATTTATTACTGGAACTCGAATTGTGGGAAGAATCTTCATAGGAATAACCTATATTCAAATCTTGCATATGTTCGTGAACTCCAGAATATCTCCTAGTATCTGAAAAATTTGAAGCATCGGCTTCACTTGAAAATTCTGTTAAACTATTTAGAAAATCTCTTTGAGCTTCTATCCTAGGACGATATCCATGATCAGTGTCTTGGGTAGCATAATAATTTTCATTTCCTTGAGTCCATCCCATATCACTTGAATATCGGCTATCTCTATAGCTCCCGCTATCACCACCATTATCGGCACCACCACCACCACCACCACCACTACCATCATCACCATCATCATCATCATCATCATCATTGCTATTATTCTAATCTTCACCTTTAGTTGTTGAAGGTGAAGATTCCACTATGATTGTTTTTTTTTCTTGCTCATATTTTTATTTTCTGATTTTTTCTTTTTGGCTTTTTTTTTTCCATCGGCTATAAACTGAGATAAAAACATATCGCTGTCATCATCGTTACGCTGACTGTCAATTCCATCTCCACTTTCATCAATAGCCTCATCCAACTAATTCAAATCACTATCATGAATAAGTGGAGATTCATTTTCTCTAACCTATTCATCTAAAATATCATTTTCATCAAAAATATGATTCAAATCAATCGGGTCATAGAAATTGTCTGTGTCTGTCCTTTGCTTAAAATTTTTCACCCGAAGACGCATGTTGTAGTGGACATAGACTAGCTTATGCAGTTTCTCAATAGCTAATCTATTCCGAAGTTTAGTATGGATCAAAGACCACGTACTCCAATTGCGCTCACAACTAGATGATGTGCATGTTTGACTCAAAACTTTTAATACAATTTTCCGTAAATTAGGGGCTTCATCACCATACACATTCCACCAGTCAGCTATTAAAAATGGTAAAAAAATAATAATAATAATGCACGATATTATAACATATTAAAAATACATAATTGAATGATAAGTTTTATAATGCATACCTGGTAAAGATGTAGCTACAGCTCTAATAGCAAGTGCACTTCCAAATTCTCCAATTTTGTTAACAAATGTATTTATCTATAAACAATATAATGTAAAATTATTAGAAATCAATATATATATATATATGTTTCTATAAAAATGCACAAATATATATATATATATATTTCTTGAAACCTCAAAAAATTATTTGAAATATTAGTTCTAACTTTCACACATTTTACCTTATTCATAGTCTTTACTTGTATATCCAAATTTGGCTCGAGTCTTATAATAACTTTTTTTACTCCGTTTCGAACCTCCGATGAATCAAATTCACAAGTGCCAGAGTATTGAAGACTAGGATTTAAAAAATAAGCTGTATCAAATATATTTAGAATTAGAAAATAAAATAAATGATTACTACAATGTAAAAAAAAAAAAAAAAACAAAACAATTACCTGCAGCATGCAAATCTTGATGCAATTGGTTATACCATCTTTCATCGATGATATCCCAATATTGTTGAAAATCTTTCACAGCGGTTTTAATTGTCATTTTTGCCCTATCCATTGCCTCGTAAATGATAGGTAGTGTAGGGTTTTTATCTTGATCAACTACTTTTAAAACCTTCACCAAAGGTTCCATGACCCCTACCCATTTCCAAAATCTTTCATTCAGAATCATGTCTGATATATCTCCAGCTTCATGTCTTCTTCTCAAAGTATTATTGTACTCAACTCATTCTCTAAAAGTACACATTCTTTTCAAGTCAGTTGCGTATCTCAGAAAACTTTCCATTGCAACAAGCTCAATTGCAAATCTTGTTATGCCTGGTCGCAACAGGTCTCGACCATTCGTATATGTTTTCATCAAATTGACCACTTTATCACTGTTGTATATAAATCCTGTAATTCTTCTGGCTTCTTTTATCGTATCCTTCACCGACAATATATCACGATCTCTTCTAACATCAAATCAATGCAATGCGCAACGTATGGAGACCAAAAAATGTGCTTTCTTTTCCTCATCAATTTTTTCCCAGCAGGATTCATACTAGCTTCACTATCAGTTACTATTTGTACAATATTGTCAACCCCTACTGAATCCACAACCTTGTCCATTAGGGTGTAGACAAAGTCTGAAGTCTTTACCTTATTCGTACAGTCGAACGAACTGTGATATATCATATCTCTGTCACAGTACACCATAAAATTTATGATTTGATGTTTTGTGCGAGTACTCCAACCATCGCACATAATTGTACATCCCTGTGTTTTCCATTTCTGCTTTAAAGAATCAACATATTGTACAACTTCTTACATCTCCTCGTTCAAATATCACTCCCAATTTGCTTACCAGTAGGCCCTTTAACTCTAGGTCCAACGGATGTAATCGTGTCAATCATTGTTTGATAATAAGGACCACTATCGGCAGCGTGAAATGGTATAGCATTAAAATGAATAAATTTCGAAATTGCTCTACCCACCTTTTTCGCATTATCTTTTGAAAAAAATACTTTTCAAAGGCTTATTCTTCGATTGAAACATGTATGGATCAAGCTTTTTTTTATGCAAACCTTCTGTCTTTCTCGTAGAGCTTTCGAAAAAATTTCTTTTAGCTTATTTTGTATTCGAACTGCTCCCTCCTACAAAGATAAAATAAAAATATGATTAAATATAGTTGTCATTTCAAAATAAATATACTAATATTAAACGTATTTTTTATAAAATTCAATAAATATACCTGCTTTATAATTCAAGCTTGGTAGATCTCCGGATACAGAATGTCTACGCTGCTGCTCTATAAATTTCATATTTCTGCTTTCAGACATTGCTCTTTTTAATTGTTTTCTTTCAAGAGCATCTACCTCATCTTCATTTATTTCAAAAATTTCATCTTCTTCCTCGTCAGAATCATCTTCCAAACGAAGGGAATTATGCAATGCTTCTAATTTTTTTTTATTTGCTGCTCGCATACTTTTTCCTTGGATCAAGTATTGTTTTAGTAACTCTCTTATTTCTTTTGGAGCTCTCTTACATGCTTCAACTTGACCTGTAACATGTGCTATATGTTGTTTCATCATAGTAATCCCACCGTGAATAATTTTTCCACAATAATTGCATTTTGCTTGCTTTCTATCGTTACTTATAGGAGTAGCGTGATCCCAACCAATATCTTTATGTGGTATCATTTTACATAAACTCTGTAATTGAATACTAAAATTGTTAAAATATTTATAAGTAGTAATTTATTAGTTAATTGGACAAATTATACATATTATTTTATTAATAAATCAAATTTATAAAAAAATTTAACTTAAATAACTAATTCGTAAAACTTAGACTTAGAATATATATTTATTAAATTTATATATATAAAAACAAAGTTAATTTTAATAAAACTTACTTTATATAGATTAAATAAAATTAAATACAATCCAAAATAATTAAACTTATCAATTAAATAAATAAATCAATCAAAATAATTCAACATTAATTTCAATCCAAAAATTAAGGAACAAAATTATATAAAAACTATATTTAAAAAAATTAAATTAATTAAAGTAATAATATATATAATTACGGCAGTCTTTCTTCCACCGGTCCTTCTTCCACCGGTCCTTCTTCCACGGCATTCTTCCTCCCCAAGCGTTCTTCCTCCCCAAAAATTTACGAAGTAACTTTTTTTCTACACAATGCCAACAATTTTTCTTCAATAGCCGAAATTTTTTCTCAAATCCTTCTGCCACATAGAAGATTGCTAAAACCCACATTCCCAACACTGTAAATACCTAAAACTTACCTTGTCCACCACCAGAAACTGGGAGTAGAAACCAGAGTATTTTTCGTCACTCGTAGAAACCAGAGTAGAAACCAAAGCCACCAGCTGAGAGAAGAGAGAAAGTAGGAGTATTTTTTCGTCACTCGTCACCGCCAGGAAGGAGAGAACAGAGAAAGTAGGTAAAGAATCAGTGAGAATTAAATTTTGGATAGGATTTGTATATATTTAAAAAATCTTAAGAGAAATATTCAATTTTTCGGTTGAACCGGAACGGTCCTGTTCCGGATCGGCCGAGTCGGACCGGACTCGGCCGATCCGGCGAACCATGCTAGTGACCAGTTTGAATGAGTTGTAACTGTTAATTATTAAATTACAACCCCTGCTTCTGAATTCTTAGTTTTAAACTAATTTTGTGTTCAACTTTGAGCTTAAATTTTATCGTCAATAAAATTAGTTGCTGAGATTAATTATTTAGTTGCTAGCTAGGTAGATCAGATCAACTTTAGTTTAGTTTGCTGCAACTGTGCATTATAATATTATTCTATTGCAAGTTTGTTGTCCTTGTAATTGTCGACAATCAACACCAAGAGAGTGTTTGGTATAAAAAAAGAAAAAAATAAATAAAGATAGAGAAATAAAACTAATATTATTTATTTTAGTCAAAAAATCAAATTTGAGAATTAAATAATTTTTTTTTCTTTACTAAAAATACATAATGAGAAATATCAATGTGTTTATTTATTCTTTTTTCTTATTATTTAAGTGTAGGATTTAATTTTTATAATTTATTTTAAATTACATTATTCATATATTACAAAATATAGGATCTAATTTATATATATATATATCTTTTGAAGTATACTAATGTGATCTTAAAACACGTCATATCTAATTTATTATTAAAAATAAAAAGCAATCAACAATATTTTTTAATGGACTGTGACTCATTTTATCCAAATTCTTAAGTTTTTCTTTTTATTTTTTTAATTTTTTTAAAACTAAATTATATATTTTATCAAAAAAAATTATTATTGTCTTTTTTTTTCTATAATTATATTTTTTACTATTTTCATTCTTTTTACAAAATGCACCATAAAAGTAAGATAATTTAAATACAAATAATTTGAATAATATTACTAACCTATATATATATATATAATACGATCCACAGGTTTTTATTATTTTAAAAATCCTTTTGTATTTTTTTATATTTTTTAATAATTCTAAAATTAATTTAATATTTCAGAATTCTCATTTAAATTTGTAATTAGTGATAATTATAATCGTAATTAATAAAATAAAAAATATGTTATTACATTTTCTAATTGTCTATATTCTATATATATGACATCGGTAAGTCTTACAATATCTCTTTTGTCATTTTCTTTTAATTTTTTAAATAAATTAATTTGTATTAATTACTCTTTATTAATACTTCATAATTAATTCTTTTGCATTTTATCTTCAAATGTTTTATATACAAGGTAATATATAGTTTAGAAAAATTGCCACGACTCTCAAGTTATTAAAAATGAAGTTCGTTCTTCGACTCGAATTTTACTATAAAACAAAAGACTATTTAATTTTTATTTAAAATGCTTTTAATTATATGATAAAATTGATAGTAAATTAAGTATTAATGAAAGGGAAAATAATCCTTTAACATTAATAATACTTCAATATTACTTAATTCACCTATAAGGGGGATATTAACAATCCTCAATTATGGTATTATTATATCAGATTTTATTTTATCTCATATTATATAATATATAGTTACATATTAGATTAGATAAAATAATATTATTCATTCTAATCACCTAAAGTAAAAACATCCTGATAGTATTATTATCATCAACTTCAAAAGAAAGTGTTATTAATTCTTGTTAATAATAATTAAATAAAAGAGTTGAATATCTATAATGTCGAGATTTGTTAATGATTGTTAGGAGTTGATAACTTGGAGCAGTGAAGCCATTTATATTTTTTAACGATCATTGAAAAATATAATTGATGATTTATTCTTTTTATTTGTGCAAACAATGGATTCTCATTGTCTAAAGTTCAATGTCCACGTTATAATAGAGCTTCTAATATGGGATTTTGTTCGGTGCTACATAAAAAAATTTCAAGAGGTCACTCATTCTAGTGCTACTATTGTTCAAACACACTTAACTTCTAATATAATTTGGTGCACACTTAAACATAAAAAATATAAATTTAGTGGACAAAGTGAGTATATTAAATTATTAAAATATATATACAGGGTAAATTATATAACACATTCTTCTATTTTAGTATAAATTCACAAAACAACTCATATTTTATTATTTATTGCGTGAAATTTCAACGGATGGTATCATCTTGAAGAATAATTCTTTGTAGCATTGTTTTGATCCCCCGAGTATGCCCGATGTAGTTATAGATATTCTTATTCTCGAATGTACTAATATACCGTTTAATCTTTACGATAAAAAAAGTATAAACAAAAGCGTCTCTTCATCCAAAGCTGATCTTTGATTGTAATTAAATTCACATTTATTCATGAATTTTTAAACAAATAAAAAGATAAATATTTTAAATAATAGTTTTGATAGAAAATAGGGAAAATTGCAAAAAATGTATTGTATGTAGTCCAAATATCATTTTCGGATACTTTTTGTCACTTTCATATTTTAGGATAATATGTGTAATTAGGACATAATTTTTTCCCTCCGCTGCCGGAAATACGCACGTGACCGTCACGTGCGTCTTTGTGGCGTTTCCAGCGCAGACGTGGACATCGCCGGTAATGTGTTGTCGTTTGCGTGGATGTCAGAGAGGCGATGTGCAATTTCAAATTATTTTTTAAAAAATTTATTTATGTTTTTAAAAAATCAATTTGGCCCGATTGGAACAAATTG